GTTAGGCATATTTTTTTAATCAATTCAAACTAAGTTCAACATGTCTTAACTACAAGTAATGGCATCTAGGATAACACGGTTTAATAGCAGTAACACATTGAACAAAATGAAATGGCAGAGGATTCAATGACTCACCAGTTAGATGAAACAGGAAAGACAGGAATCCAACAGTATAACAAATAGCACCAAACGGAAGCAAAGACTTGAAGATTTCTGGCCTTGGCTTTCAGCCGGCCAAAACCAAACAATGAGCACAGAATCAGAGTGAAAGAACCAAGTTTTTAGTGAGAGTATGAGAGTTCGAGTCTTATCCTTAAGGGGAAAGGGGAGAGGGGTTTAAATAGTGTTCAATTATGTGAACAAATAAGGGAAGTAATCAAACACACATAAATAAGGGAAGTAAATAATCACATAATCAATTGAAGTCTCGTTTAAGGACAGATTGTACAGAGCACAGTCAATTAACAGGGCATAATAGCATGTAATCAGGCGAGTAACACTTAAAATAAGGAAGATATCAATTAACAAACAGTTTTAAGGCAAAATAAAGTAAAGAAATAAAGGAAACATGGTAGATTGAACAAAATAAGGAAAATATTAGTCTTGTATGAGAAAGGAAAGAGTATCAAAAAATCAGTAAAAGTTCCGAACCCTAGTTTTAAGGAAAACCATAGTACCAGATATACACAAAAGCAATAACATAAGATGAATATAGACCCAAATGGCACTAAAAATCAAAGAATCAAACAAATTTTGGTCCGATTTAAGAAAATCTGAGAACCCTAAGTTTAGGGTAAGTAAAAATTAGTCAGAAAGATCTATGAAAAATCATATACATAGATAGATACACGGAAAAATTACAGAAGATATTCAACCAAAATAGAACCAGAACAGATCTTAAAAGATCTGAACCCTAAATTTAGGGCAAAATAAATTAGGCGGAAAACTTTTTAACGAAAATCGCAAAAAATATTCATAGATAGACATGCTGGAACATAGAAGACATTTTTAACAAAAATAAGAACGAAATATTAACAGATCGTAAAAGATCTAAACCCCAGCTTTAGAGTAAACCAAGATTAAAGAAAATCTCGGAGATTCATACTCGAAAAGATGAAGAATGATCATAGATGAAGAAAGGAGAAAGATTCGAACCAGATTTGGTCCAAAAATAGGGAAATTGGCTTGTCATGTTAGGCAAGCTATTAGGCTATACCATAATCGAGTAGCCAGTAGCGAGATAGGACCAATAAAGTAAGAAAATTATCAAGGGATTCCATATCCGGTTGGAATCGAAGAAGGAAATTAGGTGATGGCGGATTAGGGTTTGATAGAGACGAGAAGGCGTTGGGAGAGTTTAAGGGCGGCGGGTTGAGTGAAATGGGCTAGGGTTTCTGGGGTTGGGTTAATAAGGAAAGGGGGGGGGAGGATGGTGGCTGTTAATCTTGAGAGATCAATGGCCGGGGTTAAAAAAAACGGATGGGGCGGGTCGCGACCGGGTTGTGGGTTAGGGGTTGTTTGGTTTGGGCTATGGCGGACTGGGCTAGTTTTTAAGTAGTTCGGCTGGGTAATTGGGCTGGTTTGGGTAGCCTAGGTTCCGATTTTAAATAAAATGGGGCTAGATTTAAATACGCATTTTTAATTAATAAAATAATTTGTAAAAAAAGATAAATGAAATAGTAAAATTATCATTTGTGGCTAAATATGATTAATGACATTTATTTATCCTTTAAAAAGTATAAAAGCTATTTTTTGCAAAAATAAAGTAATTATAAGTATATACGGGCTATTATTGCAAAATGTGCAATTTTAATCTAAAAAATGCAAATGTAATTGGTTAAAATATTTAAACACTCTATGGGCATAAATGATGAATTTAGATGATTAAATCATCATAAAAATAATATGAAGGATAATTATTGGATATTTGTACAATAAAAAATGCAAAAATAAATTGATTTAAAGCCTTTAAAATTATAGAAAAACTATAAAAATACTTGTGCATTGTAAATCTAATAATAATGCATGCACTATTTTGAAAATATATATATTCATATTTAAAATATATGAGAGAAAAATTGGGTATCAGCACTACTATCCCAACAAGTCCCATAACATACAGACCTACTCGAGGCTTCAAATCAGACATAACAACATCAAAACGATGAATCGCACCTGAAATCGAACTTAATGAACTTTGAACTTTTCAACTTCCAAAACTCGTTCCGAAACATAGCAAATCAACCCGGAATGAACCCAAATGTTTCACACAAGTCCTTAATGACATAATGAAGATATTTCAATTCCCGGAACCACAATACGAGTCCGATATCAAAAAGTTTCACTCCCGGTCAAACTTTCCAAAGTCAAACTTTCGCCATTTCAGGTTACATTCAACTACGGACCTTCAAATCACAATCCGGACACGCTCCTAAGTCCCAAATCACCCAACGGAGCTAACAGAATCATCAAGGCTCCAATCCGAAGTCAAATATTAAAAAGTCAAACTTGGTCAACTCTTCCATTTTAAAGCTTCCTAGTTGAGAATCATTGTTCCAAATCAGTTTTGAGTAACCTGAAAACCAAAATCAATGATTCACACAAGTAATAATACATCATACGGAGCTACTCATACCCGCAAACTATCGAGCGAATTGCAAATGCTCAAAACGACCAGTCAGGTCGTTACAGGGTCATCACTTTATAGTGTCACACGAATCGACTCAACCATGTTATTAATATAACACAAAAGTACTCTCTCATGGGGCACTATATATGTTGTAGTTTCAAACCATAAGGTAGGTCCTACGTATACAACGACACATGTAATTTTATAGTAACATCAAAATATATCCGAAGCCAATCACGGTAGCAACTCCCAAAAAATTTGTAACCTTCAAAATAGATTAACACAACACATATAGGCCTCGCAATATCTATTTTCAACATTTGTTAAGTATCGAGTCCTTTTCACATTTAAAAATTTGTAGCATGTAGTTTCAATTTATCAACAAGTATTAGCCTTTTAATTCATGCGATCAATATTAATGGGGTCGGTTATACTCATACTACACTTCTGCACCTTGCGTGCAGATTTAGGAGCTGATGATGTTGCTGTGTATGGCGGGAGCTGTCATTGAAGATTTGTAAATATGTTTATGTATATTTGGAACAGAGGATGTATTTATTTCGTATCAAATATGTAAATTCTAAGTCTTAGAAGCTCATGACTTACACTACCAGTCCTTGAAAATGTATTCAGTTATTTTTCTTTTTGACTCTTATTGTTATCTTTAGATTATGTTTACTGTTATTGACTTACCTAGCGGGTTGGGTTAGGTGCCATCACGACTAGTTGGATTTTTCGGTCATGACACTAGTATACCTTAAATACTAGGTGGCGACTCTAAACCCCAATTAACCTTGTAGAGTACTATAAGTTGTAGTTTGTTTTGACTTGTGCAAAATAGGTTGCAACAATATAAAGGTTGATGTTTCTTTCTCAGTCAGTTGTGTACATTTTAAATTTCCGGTATTGTTACTTGGAGGCCTCGTTGGCCCAGGTCTTATGGTTAAATAGGCGTAAGCATGGACGTTGGTTGGCACGGGCTTTCGGGCATCGTGTTCCGGTCGCACCTCCCGAGGTTGAGGTATAACATTTTTAGATTTAGTTTCTTCAGAGTTTAAATAAGAAAAGATAAAATTTAATTTTAGTTGAATTAAAAATCCTAAATATTAGAAAGATAAGTAAATGGTCATTTTATCTAATGTAAAATCTATTTTTAAACGGTAAAAAAAGGGAACGACATCTCACTAAGAATTTTCTTGTATTTAATATAGTATATATAGATATATAGATAGATATCGATGATGGAAGCACAATCTTATAAAATTAGTGAATTCTGGAACAGTACTGTTAGATTACTAAGCGACCCTATGAAGCTGAACCATTAGTTATGTTTCATATTACTCAACTATAGATAGACCTTACCGAATATTATCACTAAATAAAATATTGATCAATGTAATGTGTAATTGATAAAATCTAAATAAATTAACCAGTATTTTTACACATGACAATACAACCTGAGTATTTATTTACGAAATGGCCATAACAATCTCAGTGAGCAAAATATACTCGGTGAATGCGTTATCTGAAACTCATCTACTTTGGTTATTAGAAATTAAAGTGTCGGATGAACATGTAAGTAGGTATAAGAAGTAAATGATGAAATGTCTTGTACGTCGTAGTTAGGTCTTTTGCCACAAAACATTGTCTGTGAGCTGGAATTGATGGAGTTATAGCTACGACTGATTGCTCAACCAGTTTATTAGGTCAAATGTATTAATCACTCAAGTAGAAAACCGAAAAGAAAGGGCATGTAATATGTTCAACCAATTTAAATTGCTATAAACCTTTGCTAGACTACTAATAATTCGTAACTCATATGAAAGATATTCATCTCCGTGAACTGCAGCTTTAATCATAACAAAAAGGTAATCTGTTAACAGATTAGAAGTATGCACTCAGTCTATACATATAATCTGTTAACAGATCACCTTTTAAATTTTGATGCTAATATTTTAATTTATGTGAATCTATTTCCTCTTTAGTCCGTGCAAAAAAGAATGACCCCTTATTTGGAAACAATTTATCTTTTATGCAATGATTTATAGCCACACAAAATATATGTGTCTCATTTTACAACACAAATCTAAAAGTTTCTCTCTTTTCTTAAACTTTGTACTCAGTCAAATAAATTCACATAAGAATCAAACGGAGGGAATATAAGTTGATGGATTTGATCCTAACCATGAAGCGTTCCATGTGATTCTGCCGAAATCGTGATCTCATTCCTCTGTTTTAGGTGCATCAATTATGTTGGTTCGATTTCTCAATCTGGCATTAACTCCCATTTCTGATAAGTACAATTTGACTTGTTAACTTAACTTTTTTGGAGTAGTTTTCCACTATGCTCAAGACCCACATAGCTAAAAGCGAATGGTCAAGAATTCTTCAAATCCAATCGAGTCTTGACACATGAATAAGAAAAAGAACCTTTCTTTCCCTATAAATTTCTGCTACCATCTTTAAAATTGAACCAAACCAAGAAAACAATTCTCTCTCGTAAACAGGAATAAAAAGCATGTCAAAGTTTAGCGCACTTTTCATTGTAGCCATTCTTCTGTGCTTCAGTCTCAAATCTGCAGCTCGCCCTGATTCCACTTTGATGAAAGCACAATTCAAAGTAAGTCCATATCTTAGTTATTGTACCTTTTTTGTTCTTTTTTTTATAAAATCACGATTCCGTTACCTCTGTCACAAAGATCAAGTTAGCTCGTCATTTCCTCTGTTTTCATTTGTATTATATATTTTGATTTTTGAGATTCAAACTATGTGATGTTTGACCATCATTTAAATACATTTTTTATCGTATCGATATGAGAAGAATTGTATTTTATAGGATTTTTTTCATATAGTTTTCGAATATCTAATTTTAATATCAAAATATTAAGCTTAACTAATTCAATTTAGTTTCGAAGATTAGTCAAATGACTCTCAATAAACGAAATATATTACATAATTTAAAACAAAGGGAGTATAAATGTATAATTCATCACTATAGAATTACGAGTTCTTGATATTTCTCCGTTTACTAATATTGTGTGGTCATGTGGGTAGGATGCAAGAGATGATAAAGTTGAAAATGATGAAGGAATTTGTGAAGGAGTAGAGGAAGAGGATTGCTTGAAGAGGAGGACAATGGAGGCTCATATTGACTATATTTATACTCAGAGTCAAGGTCATCCATGATTCAAAGCTTATGGGCTTCACTTTCCTTTAGTGATTGTATGACCAGCCGCTGATTATAGAGGGTGTTTGGCTAAGATTTTAAGCTGGTCAAACTAGCTTATAAGCACTTTTCGGCTTATCTACGTGTTTGATAAAGTTAAAAGTGCTTATAAACCAAGTGCTTATAAGTCAAAAATAAGCAAAAAGCCATAAGCTGGTAACCCCCAACTTATAAATTTTTAGCTTATAAGCACTTTAAGTTTGACCAAGATTTTTACTATTTTATCCTTAAAATATTGCTTTTTAGAATAAAACTCCTACATCGATACTCACTGCCTCAATTATTCAACCTAACCCCCCCCACCACCACCACCACCACCCCCCCCCACCTCTTCAAGTCTGCAATTCTCATTGACTATTTAAGATAAGCAAATTCTCTATTCCTTTGCATACTTATATCTATGTGATTGTGTATTAATCTTTGAACTGTATGTAATAAATGAGGACATATCAAAATTTTGGTGTATTGCTTTCTAAGTGTTGTGGTGATGAAGACAATGTTTGTTTCTCTTCAAATAATTTGTCATATTTAGGTTTATTTCTTACTGAAAAACTTTTGTCAATTTATTAATTATTATAACTTATGATTATATGTTTATCATAAGATAAATTATATTTATCATAAAAATTATCTTATCTAAGCACAATTGTATTTAAAATAAAATGACAAATTGTATTTGGATTGATCTGGAATCTAAAATTTTGAAGAAATACGCCATTATAAGTGTAAACAGTTCTAAGGTTATTTAAGTCATTTTAACAGAAAAAGAGCTTATTAGCACTTTTTTATCAAATACTGCAACAACTTATTATCAATTTCAGCACTTATACCCAAACACGTAACTGCTTATTTGTTAAATCAGTTTCAGCACTTAAAGTGCTTTTCAGCACATAATGCTTATCAGCTACTTCAAATCAACTAATCCAAACGGGCTCGTAGTAAAACTTCTGCCTCGTGGAGGCAACTTTTATTCCGGTTTTTCTTTTTGTCTTCTTGATTCTCTCATATTAATCATTCTAAAACGAGTTGGAAGAGAAACTCTTAATCCTTACACGTATAAAGTTGATCTGTCAGTGCCCAAAATCCCAATCAATGGGGATCGTGGTGACGCCTAATAACGTTCGCTAGGCAAGCAAATACAACAACATAATACGAAAAGAAATATAGTAAATATCTGATAACTAATCAATAACATAACGTAAATCACCCTAAGATTTGGTGTCACGAGTACATAAGCGTCTAGATCAAGCTAAATACAAGATTTTGAAAGAAATACAACACTCCAAAAAAATAGAAACAGAACAATGAAATAGGAAAGTGACATTAAGACCTGCGAACGGGATGTTGCTCTACCTCGAATCACGGTCATGTACGCTAAGTGCTTCTTGGCACTTTGCTGGTACCAACATCAAAATCTGTGGAGGAAGTGCAAAAGCATAGCATGAGCACAACCGACCTAATGTACTCAATAAATGTCGAGCCTAACCCCGACAAGGTAGTGATGAGGCTAAGGCAAGACAACTACTAAAAACCTCTGTGTGTGTGTGTGTGTGTGTGTGTGTGTATATATATATATATATATATACACACACACACACATATACATACATAGGAAATAACAATGAAGGACACCTTCCTGGCAAATGCGAAGCTGCTTTACCTAGTACAGTATCACAAAAGCGACACCGGGCCGCAAAAGAAATCCCAAACCAAATTGCAAAAGTGAACAGTTGTTCCACCCCAATTTCACTTCGTTATCTCCAATATCTGAGTCAACTCACCCAATATCTGATGCCCATACTTCAACTGTTGATAATTTAAACACCAAGAGGCATGGCTAGCAATATCTTTCTTGATCCTATGCCAGCAATAATGCTATTTTAAGTCATGGTACATCTTTGTGAAGCCTGAGTGAATGGAATAGCGCAAACTATGAGTCTTCTAAAGGATGAACTCCCTCAACCAATTAGCATTTGGAACATTAATCTGGCCCTGAAGCCACATAACACCATGATCTCCAATCACAACCTCCTTGGAACCACCCCGCGGCACTGTGTCTTCCAACACCAACAAGTGAGGTTCATCAAACTGGCGAACCTTGATATGCTCCAACAACGATGACTATTCCACAACACATGCAAGAACCCATTTAGGCTCCAAAATATCCAATTTCGCAAACCGGTTGGCCAAAGCCTAAACATAATGGTCTCTCCACTACCGATAAATATGTCAAACTGCCCATGCTCTCAGCCTTCCTACTCAATGCATCAACCATTACATTGGCCTTCCCTGGATGGTATAATATGGTGATATCATAGTCTTTCAACAACTCTAACCATATTCGTTGCCTCAAATTAAGGTCCTTCTGCTTGAACAAGTGTTGAAGACTCCGATGATCAGTATAGACCTAACATGGAACACCGTATAGGTAGTGCCTCCAAACCTTCAGTGCGTGAACAATGGCTGCCAACTCCTAATAATGTACAAGGTAATTCTTCTCATGAACCTTCAACTGTGGAGACGCGTAGGCAATCACCTACCGCCCTACATCAATACCATGCCAAGCCTAATACATGATGCATCAAAATACACGGTGTAAGATCCCAAAACTGCAGGCAACACCAACATAGGGACTGTAGTCAAGGCAGTCTTGAGCTTCAGAAATCTCACCTCACACTCGTCGGACCATCTGAAAAATGTACCTTTCTAGGTCAACTTGGTCAATAGGTTTGAGATAGATGAAAACCCATCCAACAAATTGGCGATAATAACTTGCCAATCCCAAGAAGCTCTGAATCTATGTAGCTGAAGTAGGTCTAGGCCACTTCTGCACCGCCTCAATCTTCTTAAGATCTACATTAATGCCCTAGAAAGACACAACATTGCCCAAAAAGGCAACCGAGTCTAACCAGAACTCACATGTCAAAAACTTGGCATATAATTGACAATCCTTCAAAGTTTAAAGAACGATCCAGAGATTTTGGTCTTGCTCCTCTTGACTGCGGGAGTAAACCAAATTATCATCAACGAAGACGATCACAAAGGAATCTAGATAAGGCATAGACATCCGGTTCATCAAATCCATAAAGGCTAATGGGTCATTAGCCAAGCCAAAGGACATAACCAAGAACTCATAGCGAGCATATTCAGTTTGTATAGCTATCTTTGGGACATTTGATGCCCTAACCTTCACCTGATGGTAGCCAGATCTCAAGTCAATCTTGGAAAACACTTTGGCACCCTGAAGCTGGTCAAATAAGTGATCAATCCTTGGCAATAGATACTTGTTCTTGATAGTGTCCTTTGTTCAATTGCCAATAATCTATGCACATTCTTATCGATCCATCATTCTTTTTCACAAACAATTGCGATACAACCCAAGGCGAGACACTAGGCCTAATGAATCCCTTAAAAATCAAATCCTGCAACTCCTCCTTCAATTTATTCAACTCAACTGGGGCTATATAGTATGGTAGAATAGAAATAGGTTGAGTGCCCGGAACCAAGTCAATACAAAAGTCGATATCCCTATCGGGTGGAAAACTTAACAAATATGTAGGAAACACCTCTGGGAACTCTCTCACCACCGGAACTGAATCCATGGAAGGCACTTCGATACATGAACTATGGATATAAGCCAAATACGCCAAACACCCCTTCTCGACCATACCTCAAGCCTTCATATATGAAATGAACCTGCTAGTAGAGTGACCAAGAGTCCCTCTCCACTCCTACCATGGCAACCCCGGCATGGCCAACATCGCTGCCTTGGCATGACAATCCAAGATAGCGTGATATGGTGACAACTAATTCATGCCCAAAATCACATCAAAATCTAACATATTAAGTTATAGAAGGTCATCCCTGGTCTCACAGCTCCCTATAGTGACCAAGCAAGCACGATAGACCCAGTCCACCACAATAAAATCCCCAATGGGCATAGACACATAAACAAGAGCACTCAAAGAATTACAAGACATATCCAAATATGAAGAAAAATAGGATGACACATACGAATAAGTAGAGCTCGTATGAAATAAATCTGATCCATCTCTATGGTAACTAGAACAATACCTGTGATGATGACATCATATGAGTCTTCCTCGTGTCTGGATGGAAGTGCATAGCAACGGGGCTAAGCCCCGCCAATCTGATCTCTGCCTCTCGGACAGCCTCTCCCTAGCTGGCCTCCACCTCTAATCACCTAACCTCCACCTCGGTCTACTTGACCCATCTAGCTGGCTGAGCGGGTGGTGGAGCAACCGGAACCATGGCACAAGTATCCAACTATGGCATGCTGCTTTATGACCTCGGGCAAAACCTCAAAACTTGCCTCGAATCTCCACTAGTATAGCAATTCCTCGGGTTGATGTATGAGTGTTGACCTTAGAACTGACCCTATCGAGCTGAATAACCACCTTGATAACTCTGAATCGTAGGTGATCTATCAAAACTGAAGGTGCACTGTATGCTAGCTGCTCGGGATGAGACCCATAAGAACCACGACTACCCGAGGCATCATGTGATACCTGAAGCGTTGACGAAATCGGCCTGATGGAATGTCCTCTACCAAATGAACCCCTGCCTCCAGACGAGGCGCCATTGAAACCACCGAAATGATGAGGCCTCTTTTCAGATGCCATCTCTCTACCCTGACCATGAATCATCTCGATCCGCAAAGCAATCTCCACCACTCGAGCGAAAGAGATACCATACTTGGTGTTTCTGGCAATCTGTAGTCTGATACCATATGTTGCACCCTATTTTGCACTAGACAAAACAAGATTCAACTTGTGGTTTCTATGTTGTTGATAAAAAGAGAGTCACCACTAATATTTAAAGGTATACTAGGTTACCTATTTAATTACTAAGTTACATTTTTTATTGGCCTGCTGACCGGTGAGATTATGGGTAAGGGTTCTTATTCTTCTAAGGGAAAGGTGTTAGGTACCCCTTAAATTCTACTTGAGGTAGCTCCATAGGACTATTGTAGGGAAATGACACCGAAAAACTAATAATAATAATACTGCAATAACATTATTTGTGAACGGATACACGGACTGGCTTGAGTCGTGCTAGGCACTGTCCTAAGAAACTATTTCAGCAATGTGAAATGTTTCCCCAAGATTAAACAAGCCTACCTCTATTAGGGAGGATACAGGAATCAGCAAAATAGTAAATTACAAACCCAGCTATTTTAAAAGAGGGAACAAAACAAAGTAGACTATAAATATTTTAAGGAGGAAGAAA